TTTTATTTAAATTTAACGATCGATAATTTAAATTTATTATCATCATCATTATTATTATTATATATATATATATATATATATATTGAATTTACATAGTCAAATTTATTTAATTATATTTAATTTTAAATTTTTGAATTATTTTATTAAGAATTTTAATTATTATTATTATTTAAATCGAATTTTTTTTTGAATTTATTTTATAAATTATAATTTAATTTTAATTTAATTTTTCTATATATATATATATATTAAAATGACAGTTTAATTTATTTTATGTATCCCATTGTGTGATGCATATTGTTATTTCATTTCGTGGCTTTAATTTTTTCAACGAAGCGACTTTTCATTACGTCAAAAAAATAAATAAATATTTATTAATACATAATAAGTCGCAAAATTAACCGTTTTAAATAAATAAATAATTATTGCCTTTTATTTATTTTTTTTTGAAATTGGATTAATATATTCTATATATATATATATATATATATATATATATATATATATATGTAGAAATTTAAATTGTTTATATGTTAAATTGAATGAAATTTTTTTTTTTTTTTTACAAGACACGCGGAAATAATAATAATAATAATAATAATAATAATAATAATAATAATAATAATAATAACAATAACCAAAAAGGTAATTTAAATGCTAAAAAAATAATAATTAAATTTTTTTTTAGTATCTGCTATTTACACACAAATATTATTATTGTTAACAATTTGTTTATAAAATTATTATTATCATTATTATTATTATTATCGTTTATTGAGTGTGTGTGTGTGTGCTTTGTGTCGTCTGTTCATAGATCGCATGTGTGCGTTTTACGATTTGTATTGGGAAAAAAAACAAAAATGGCAAAATTTTTTTCCTTTAAATGTCGCTTATTTTTTTTTTTTTTTTTTTTTTTTAATGATAATTTTTTCCCATAATAATAATAATAATTTTTTTCTGTATTATTATTATTATTTACCGTCCCCCACAAAAAAAAAAAAAAAAAAATCACAAATTGAAAAGTACAGTTTTTTTTTACTTGTTGTTTTGTGCATCTGCCATTTTTTTTTTGTATCCTCCTGTGTTTTGTAAAAACTATTTATTTTTATTTATATTTTAATCATCTATTTATTTATATTTTAATCATTGAAGCCACTTTTAACTTAACTCACTTATTATTATTATCATTATTATTACTTTTTTAAAATTAATATAATATTTATTATCGGCAACTAATTATTAATTAATTAATTAATTTTTTTTTGTTTTTATTGCAGTCACACTAGAGTCTCTGCAGTATCAATGTACTGCTTTAACCTGTAAACAGAAGAATAAATGAAAATTAATGAAAATAATCATTATTATCGTCATCATCGCAATACAATGTGAAACAACTGGAATTTTGGAAAAGAAAGAAAAAAAACTGTCAAAGGTAAGATAATAATTTTATGTTACTATCATTATTATTAATATTACTAATAATTTTTTGTTGTTGTTGTTGTTGTTGTTACTAACAGAGGTTAAATGTGTCCTTCACTTATCGATGAATGCGAAGAATCAGAAGACATGTTATTTTGACCCGGTAAATGATGTCGTCTTTTAGATGATGAGCGAGCGCTGTGATAGGCTCGACGATGACTTCCTATATTTTCCATAAGAGAAGGTAACGACGTGTGTGGCGATCTGTAAGTTAAGTTCCCTAAATCGAACCAAAAAAAAAAAAAAATCAATCAATCGTTTTATATTAATTTAAATCATTCGACAAGATGACAACGTTCGACAACAAAAAAAACCGTTTCTTTACGCGTGTGTGTGTGTGTGTGTGTGCGTGTCTCACATTCGTAATAATAATACAATGCAATAGTTTGTGTGTGTGCGTGAGTGCGCGAGTAATAAACAAATATTTTACTGCCATTGAAAGAAGAAAGAAAACTACATAAATAAACAGACAAATTCGTTACATAGTATTACGGTGGTAATTTTTTGTTTGGTAATTACGTAACCGTACAAAAAAATTACGTAATAAAAAATGTCGACGATGACGATGACGTATTAATAAATAATAAATAAGTTATTAATTTCAAGGTTCATTGGAAAACGAATCACACGTAAATCGATTATTTTTATTCGTTTATAATTATTAATAAATTTTTTTTAAATATTAATTTTATTAAATAATGCGGTTTGTTATAATGATAATGATGATGATGATAATGAGTTTAAAGGTCGTTTGTTGTATTTATCCGAAATTTTTTTTTTAACGATGTTGTAATATTAAATATGGACGAAAATTTAATGGAGGAGGGGGCGGGGAGACTTTGAAATTTTTTTTTTTTTAAATAATTACCACGGAGGATTGTTGTTGTAATTAACATAAACAAACGAATTTTTTTTTTTTTTTACGGTTAATTAAAGCATGCGAGAAAATGAAGATAAAAATTGTTGTTGTTGTTAAAAGAAGGCGGCAGCGACAAACAAATAACAAGCACAAGTGTAATAAATAGTATGCAAATTGTATTATCGGTTTTGTTTTTGTTTAATAAAAAATTTCAGGTCGGTCACCGATACTACAATTCGGGTTTTCTTTTCCGCTTGAAAAAAATTTTTCCTAAGAGAGAGAGAGAGAGAAATAAAAAACGTTTTAAAGAAAAAGAGAAAAAAAAACGATGACGTAAAATGTTTTCGTTTCCATATAGAATAAAACGAGAAAAGTTTAAAGAAGAAAAAGAAAATTTTTTTTTGGTTTAGTGAAACAATGATTAGTTTAAACAAATTTTAGTTTTTTTTTTTTTCGTAAACCTTTTTTGTTTTACCTTTTTATAAACGGGCCTAAATTCACATTCATCAAAAGCATCAAAGTCGTGTTCTGCAAGAAAAAAAAACACCTACCGGTGAATTTTAGAAAGTTAGATCCTTCTGAACCTTTTTTTTGTTCGTTGTTTTATTATTATTATTATTATTATTATTATTATTATTATTATTATTATTAATGTGATATTATATAATAAATTTCAAACTATGTGTTTGTTTGTGATATAAAAATTTGTGATTATTTTAATTTGTGATGTGACGGTGTTATTGATTTTCACCAAAATGGCAAATCATTTTTGTTTTTTTTTTTTTTTTGGTGATTGTGATGATTAAGGTTTTATCAAGTATTATCATTATGATGATGAGTAGTTATTTACAGTGCTTATGCAAAGCATTTATCGATTTGATTTGTTTCGACCAATGATTTTATGGACTTATGTATCAATATTTATGTATGTTTATTAACTTTGTTGGGTTGGTTGCTCTACGTTTAGTATCCGGACGGCATTTTGGGAGTTTTACAAGTTTTTACTTACCTGCTAAAAGTTCTTCTTCGGGTATCGGATCAACCGAACTACTCAATTCTAACATAGAACCCCGTCGACCTATCAAAGGTTTCCTGCTACTCGTGCTTGCCGTGCTGCTACCGCTACCATTAAGTATATCCGTAGGATGACTGACACCGACTCCCTGTTCGATAAGGAGGACTCCCGGGGAATTTTCTTTGTTCGCAAGCACGGAAAGCGATGATTCAGAATTGGCTCTCGATCTAAATCCTTTAACTGACCCTGAACTTTCTCTTCGGAATAATCCGATAACGGATGCCGTTTTGGGCTGGTCGAAGCCGCCTTTGCAAACAAAGCCGCATGCGTTAGAAAATCAAGCAAAAAAAAAAAAAACAAATTAAATTTGCTCGCATAATTTTTTCTTGTGCTCTTGAATTCATATATATATATATATATATATATATATTATCATTATTATTGCCAGAAAAGAAAAGATATTAAAAAGAAAATCTTACCCAGAAAAGTAGCGGAAGGCGAACTATAAGCTAAATATTCTTTATTAGAGCACCATGCAGGAAATTCAGATTGTTTGACAGGTCCCCCACTAAGGACGGAGTCGCTGTCATCGCGCTTCCACGGCAAAACAGTTTCTGTTGCTGTCGGCGTCAAAACTCCATTTTCATCTACATATCACACGATGACAAACAAAAACAACAAACAAACAATCAAAAAGAAAAAAAAAGAAAAAATTTTTTTGTGAAAAATTCATTCGTAAAAAACGGAGAGAAAAAAAAAAAAACTTAAATACGGTTAAACATGAAAAAACAAATCATCAGAAAAACATGTTGATGCAAATGCTTTGACATGCTTTAGTATATATATTTTAATTACTACGACACGTCAACGAGTCAGTCAGTAATTTCGGTTAGTTATAATATATAGTTATTATTTTTTTACGGTCACATCGAAAAAAGAAAAAAAATTAATATTAATAATAATAATAAAATAAATGTTTTGCTAACCTTGAGAATCTGTTGAATATTTTTTACCCGTAAGATCACCAGAGCTTAAAGCTTTCGCCAAACTATCTGGAACTGTGAAAAATAAAAACAATATTACAAAAAAAATTATTATTATTATTTGTGATTGTTATAAGGAGGTTTACATAAGTAAAATACAGGTATGAGTGTTTGTTTTTCATGGATTTACAAAACTACCATTTAAAAATGTAAGGAAAATTCAAAGAAAGAAAACAAATTTTTGTAAACGACGACAAACGTTTAAAATTTAAAAAAAAAAAAAAAGATTTTGTGTGTTTGTGATTGTTGGCAAGTGTTCGATTGATTAAAAACAAAAACGATATGAAATTAATGTGATAAAAAGGTTTAAAAAAAAAGAAATTTTTTTTTTTTTATACAAACGACATGATATACACGTTTGTTTGTTTGTTTGATTTATCGAAGTTTCAACTGATAACAAAACATTTGTTAACAAATCATTTAAAATTGTGTTTGTTTTATGATTAATTAACCAAAAAGAAGAAAAGGGAAACAACTGTTAAATTTATTTAAATATGTTTTGGAATCACCTAAAACAAAACAAGAAACAAAAAAAACAAAGAAAAGTGTTAATGAAAAAACAAAAACAAAATTGCAAACAGCACAAACGAAGAAATTAAAGAAAAAAAAATCAAAATCAAAACGAGAGCTTTTTCTTTTTTTTTTTTGTTATTGTTATTAAAAGCGCATTATTTAAGCTTTAGCTGGAATGTACCTACCATCTGTTCTTCTCCAAGGCAACGATACTTCTGCCACAGTTGGGGCGTCATCGTAGTCAATCAAAGGCTTGGAATATTGTTTGACCAAGCGAGCACGGGTAGGATCGAACCCAGGTAAATTTGTGATCTGAGATATCAATCCAGAACTCCCACTTGCTGTTAGTTGTTAAGTAAATATAACACACACAACATAAAAAACAAACCGACCGGAACAAGAAGTATGTTTTTTGTTTTTAAATTGTTTCGGGGTGTTGTTCTTATCAAAACATAATGGTAATAAATTTTGAGCTAAGTGCTGACTCTGACTATTACTACCCCCAACAAAAAAAAAAATTTTGCCACGTTTTTTTTTGGCAAAATTTACCCATACGGTACCCATCGTCTACTACTACTACCCGCCAGCCACCACCACCACCGCCACCACGTGTGCACGTGTGCACTAATTTTAAAATAATTTTTGTTTTTATTGTGTGTCAGATTCTAACATTTAACTACCACGAAGAAAATTTTTTTTTTTTTTTAATATTGTTGCTGTCGTTGATGTTTTGTTTTGTTTTTTTGTAAAACATGCAAAATGTGTTGTAAACAAATGTTTTTGTCAACATTGCATCACAATCGTGTGTTACATAATCGATAAAAAGCTTCTGATGCTTCTGCTGTTGCTCCTACGTTTTTTTTTATAAAAGAAAATTTTGCCTAACACAAATGAAAAAAAAAAAAGTATCCGAATTTGCAAAATTGTTTTGTTTTATTATTATTATTATTAATTGCTATTTACAACGATTTAAATAAATCGTGGATTAAAATTTTTTTCGTGTCGCTAAAAAAAAATTTGCGTCGTGGTAAAAGCTAAAACATAATAATGTACATTAAAAAAAAAAAAAAAACAAAAAGCCCCCGCGAAAATAAATAAATAAATAAATAAAAAATTTATATTTAATAAAAATTAAAATTTTTCTGTGCAAATTTTGTTTTATAATTTTTTTTTTTTTTTGTGAAAATCAATAAAATATTAAAAGAGAGAAAGAGAGAAAAAAGCGAGAGAAAAAAAGGAGGAAAAAAAAATAGAAAAAAAAAGAAAAAAAAGGATAAGAACTCACGTGAGGATTTAGCTGTGAATGTTATTCCTTCCCAATCGTCTTTCTTTTCATAATCGGGATCATCTTCATCTTGAAGAACTTCTTCGATGTAATCGTTAGTTAATTGTTTGGCGGATCCATTTTGTTGAAATTCTGGAAAGCTAACGTGATTTTGTTTGCCATCCTGTCATCGGATAAAAATGAAGAAAAAAAGAAAAAAAGAAAATGAGTTAATCAAAAAATGATTGTGATGATGATGGTGATGGTGATGGTGATGGTGATGGTGGTGGTGGGGGGACTAATGAATACCTTGTTTAATTTTTTACTCCTTTTGTGATGTTTTCTTTCTCCGATCACTCTCCTTATGTTCATGTGCATTTTATAATTGACTTCTTGCGTGGCAAGATCACGATCGTTAACCGCATGCCTGCTATAACTCAGTCTTCTATGCTAAAAAGTGTTTAACAAACAACTTTAAAAAAACTTATTGTCATCATCGTTGTTTTTTTTCCCGAAGAAAAACTACTCACCCTTCTCGGCTTGCACAATTCTTCCGAAAGAAGATGATGTATTTTGGCATCCGTTAAGTCTTTTTTACTCGGATTATATTCCAATTCTTGAAGATCGATATTCCACGTGCTCGTATCGAGTTGGGATAAACTCGTGCTAAGGAATCGACAAAGAAATTAAACGGAAATTTTTCTTCAAAAAGAAAAAACGAGAACGAGGGAATACCTTGTGTTAAAATTTGAATTTGTATAATTTTTAAATATGGCAGACATGGATTCCGTTCCGGAAATGTTTCCAACGGTCGATGCATTCCTCCTCATAAATTCCATAGCATCTTTCATGGTCAATTTCGAATATGTTTCTAAAATCTTTGGTTCGGCACCTTGGTAGTTTCTCAACAAATAAGGACGGATAAATTTGTTGTCAAATCTTTTAAATTTATCTCTAACGTGATAATTTCCATGAGATCCGACGATATCTTCGATACCGGCCATTAAATGGTCCATGAACTGGAAACGACAAAAATTTATTGTTTTAACAAATCGGAAAAACAAAAAAACAACAAAAAAAATTTTTTTTTTTTGGGGAAAACTCACTCTTTCGTGTATTCTTTCGTTCATCGTACATTTTCTTTTTTCTGATCTTTTAACATTTAAAAGTTTAACTAAAGGTTTTATCGTAATACCCTAGAAGAAAACAAACAAAATTGCCGATTAATAATAATTTTAAAAACTTATGGAACAAAATTTAATGTTTGGATAATACCTGAAGGAAAACAGTAAAATAAATAACAGCTATTGTTGTAGTTACAAACATTGGTTGAAGAGGAACGTGTTCTTCGTTAATTAATAATACCAATGCAAAGGCAACAGCACCACGCAAACCACCGTAAGACATGACAAATTTATCAACTTTTGTCAATTTATTAAGTCTAAAATGATTTGCAATTGCAGTTAATATAATAACACCTGAAAATAGGGAAGTGTATGTTCAGCATGACCGTTGTCGTGAATCAATTATTATTATTATTATCACAAAATAATGATGGTAAGAAAATGACTTACCTATGACTCTAAAAACGGAACAGAAAATAATTGTTAACAGAACAAACCAAGTATTCCACTCGTGTTTGTTACCAACGGTTGCTACTCCCAAAAACATAAAAATGATTGTTTCCGAAGAACTGCTTAACATTTTCATTGCATATTTAACAGTAGTGTGAGATTTATGCGATATGTTTGCTTCAACGTAATTTTTCATCGTTATACCGCAAAAAGTTATCCTAAATATTAAACGATAATAATAATAATAATAATTTAAAATTAAAACATCGGGAAAATCATTTTAATTAAACATAAAAAAAAAAAACGAGAAAATTTTTTTTAACAAAAACTTTTTTTTTAATTTTAAATTCAATAAAATAATGACGTCATAAACAAACGCTTATAAACAAAGCTTTAAAAAAAATAAATAAAAAAATATAATTTAATTCTCGTTTCGTGTTATCATCATCATTATCATCATTCTTTTTTTTTTTGAATGATAATGTAATAATGCGATTATTGCAATGCAATTATTTCTAAGAATACGTAATTTAAAAATATTTATTCTCGTTGTAAACTAATAAAAAAGAACGTGAAAAACGTGAAAAACATAAAATGTTGTTTGTTTGTTTGTTCGAATGTTTTTAAAATTTAAATTTAATTTAAAATTCCAAACTTACGCTAAAATTCCAGACATGTGAAATATTTCAGCATTTAAATAAGCTAAATATGCCATAACAAATATGAAAATGGGTTCTATGACGCGCACTTCATCCGTGTAACGTGTCACGAGACCCGTGAGAAATCCCCAAACGATACCTATTATTGTACCTCCTAAGGCGACAACGAGAAAGGAAGCCAGTCCGGACAACACGTCCGTGTACAAAATGTTACTAGGACCCATTTCGTTGTATGCTTCGAACATGTGGTAAAGAACCTTAAAAACGAAAAAACATTTCGCCATCATCATCATCGCATCCGATCGCGGATAATAGTAATAATAATAAATACTTACAACAGTAACAGCATCATTGAGCAACGATTCTCCAAAGACTACTATGTAAAGTATTTCGTTAACGTGAATTTCTTCAAAAACGGCAAGTACGGCAACAGGATCAACAGCAGATATAAGTGCAGAAAAAAGAAACATTTGTAAAAGTGGAGTTTGTACACCGAAGAGTCCAGTCAATCCGACAGCGTATAAAGAAGCACCTTAAAACAATTATCACATAAATTTTCCATTTTACGATAATGATAATAAGAGGAAGTAGGGAGAAAATTTACCAATAGTTAAAGTATTAAAAATAGTTCCGACGACAGCCATTAACAATATCGTTCCTAAATGATCGAAAAACATTCTATTTGGCATGAAATAACCCGCGTCTAGAATGATCGGCGGAAGCATGTAAAGGAAAAACGTATCCGGCGTGAGGGGAGACACGTGTACGCTGCTGCACAAAACCAAAAAAAGTCCAATAACGACTCCAACAACAATAAGTAAACATGATTCTGGAAAAATTTTACTCAGTTTTGGAGTCATGTGAAAACCTAAAGAAAAACAAAAACATAAACTCGTTACTCATCATTTCCGTTTCCTCTTCTCTTTCCCATAGCCATTTTTAATTGAAAATATCTTCTGCTAATTATTTTTTCAACCCCCCTCCCCCCGCGTTATCATGTAATCGAAATCAATCAATCATAATTCGATTATTTAATTATTCGTTTCCGAGTATTTATTATGACGTCATTACGTTTTCCTTCCGGTGGAAAAAATGTTTCATGTAATTATTATTATTATTATTACTACGAGCGTTGATTTATTTATTAAAAAAATAATAATAATTTCATTTACGCCGCGTTTTTTTTTTTATTACGTCATGAATTTTTTTTTTTCATCTTTTTCTCCTTCCTCCCTACCCTTCATTTCCCCGATGAATAAACGACAGCAAACGAACGACAGAAACAAGAACAACAAAAAATCAATTAAAATTATTATTATTATTATTTTTTCTAATAAATTTTATTTATTAAATCGATTTTTCAAAAAAATTTTAATAGAGAAAAGAAAAAATAGAAAAACGTCGCAAATTTTTTTTTTTTTAACCGTAGCAAATTCATCAAATATTGAAATTTAAAATTATTATTACAAATTAAAAAAAAAAAAAAATTATTTTTAATTCTTGGCAAATATTTAAATAAAAAAAAAAAACGTCCGTGCGAAAGAGAGAGAGAGAGAGAGAGGGAGAGGGGGAGAGAAAAATGGCGGATTTAAAAATAAAAATTTTATTTTATTTTATTATTTCGAACGAACGAACAGCGAAAAAAAAAACGATTTTCGATCGTTTCGATTCTTTTACAAAAAAAAAAAAAGTTTTTCTTATTCAATTTATTATTATTATTATTATTTGCCATAACTATAAATCCAGGCAGACGTTCGAAAAAATTTCTTTTCTTTTTTACAGCCGTTCGTAATCATCTTTAAAAAAAATTTTTTTTCATATTTTATTAATAAAAATTAAATCCTCGGATTTAAACGTTTTAATAAAACGTAAATAAATAAATGAATTTTTTATTCTTCTCTTTATTTATCGTCTAATGGATTTTAAAAAAGAAAAATTTTTTTAAACGCGTTTACAATTACTATTATTATTATTTTTTACGTAGGTGGTGTTACATATTAAAACGACGCGAAAATTCTCATGACAAGCGATAAGAAATAATATTATTATTATTATTTAAATCACGAGGTTTGAGAAAACAATGAAAGGTGTGATAAGGTCAAAATTATATTGTTAACACACAAAAAGTTATTACTTGAGACTGCGTCACGCGTTGGGTATTTTTTAAATGGAAAAACCTTCTTTTCCTATAAAAAAAAGAGAATTCTGAGGGGAGCCAACGGCACGTGGTGTTCCCAAGCGGTCACCCATCCAAGTACTAACCACGCCCGATGCTGCTTAACTTCGGTGATCGGACGAGAACCGGTGTGTTCAGCATGGTATGGCCGTTGACGTGTACTTCCGGGAAAATATATATGCATAAACGGGAAAACCTGTCTTAATGAAAATCGTGTTAAACATTGTTTTTCCTCATTGTTTATATTTTTAACATTAATTTAATGTATATCGTCCTATGTAGATGTGTGATGTCTTTTGTGAACGTCAACGGCCATACCATGCTGAACACACCGGTTCTCGTCCGATCACCGAAGTTAAGCAGCATCGGGCGTGGTTAGTACTTGGATGGGTGACCGCTTGGGAACACCACGTGCCGTTGGCTCCCCACAATTTTTGTTTTTTTTTTGTTATTTTTTTTTTTCCTCGTTTTCTTGACCCACATTTTACGTTTATTTATTTTTTTTTCAAACACGAAATGTAAATCTATAAGTTAAAATCAACATTTTAACAACCGTATATACGTTTCTCTGTTTTTTAAATTCCTTTTATTATTATTAAAACAACAAACAGAGATTTTGTCTGTAAAAGTTTTTTTAGCGCCGCGAAAAATTTTATCAAATCAGACGACAAATTAATAAAAAAAAATTACATAAGGTCATCGCGATTAAAAAAAAAAATTTGCGGTTAAAATATAATATTTGACCAATTATTTTTTTTTTTTCGTTTCGGCCCTGGCATTGATACAAAAAAAAAAATTATTCAACTTTGATTTATTACTGTTATAAAGCGCCAAATAAAATTATTATTATTATTATTATCATTTTAACAATTTTAAGGGTGATATATGCTGCATATTAAACAAAAACACCCACCCTCATTACACGAATGGAAAAAAAAACCCTTTTCGTAATTTTTTTTTTTTTAAATTCACCCACCGCCTTCTTTCAAAACCTCCTCGATCCACCCTCACCTTTCCCGCCGCCATTTTTAAATCGTTTTAAAGTTTTTAACGATAGTTTTAATATACTAAAAAATCTTTTTCCATATTGTTTATGACTCCCCGTGATGACCGTAAATGTTTTTTTTATGATCGCGTTTATACTTTGCGGAAATAATTTTTGATTATTATTTAATCATTTTCTTCGTTAAAAAAAAAAAAAAAAAAAAAGCGTGACCGCAACCGTGACCGCGACCGTGACGTGATCATTCGTTTAAAATATGTGGTGGTGGTGGGGCAAACAATCACGGGTTTAAATTTTAATTGAACCTAATGACGTCATTAACGGATTTTTTAAAAATTAATGATATGAAATCGATTATGTTATTTTCAACGGACGTACGGACGCCATTTTGTAAAAAAAAAAAAAAACATTTCCCATTTGAAAATCTATTGATGATAATAATGATAATGATAATAATAATAATGGAAAAACTCACCGATTTTGGCAATGCTGGCACAAAAAATCCATAATCCTATGATAAAAGGAGTTTTGACTCTTTCAAATTCTACGGTAACAACCGGATAATTTTCTTTTAATTCGCTACCGGTGTTAAATTTCGTTTCTCCATCCGATACGCTTCCGTCGTCTGCTAAAAAATACCAAATAATAATAATAATAATCGCTTTGGCGAAAGGGGAAGGGATGGGAAATAAAAGAAAGTCGTTGATACTCACGAACGGATCTTTCGACGATTGTTTTTTTTCCTCCATCATTTAAATTTGATTTTATTAGAGTATAGTCGGGCGTGACGTCCACCGGACCACCCGAAACGTTATCAATAATGATAAGAAAAAATATTAATAAACAACATTCAAGAGTTAAATTAATTTTATTTTTCACACATTTATAATTTTCCTTTTTCAAATATTGTTTCATTATTATTATTATTATTTAGTCGATAGATAGGGTTCGATGTTTTAAAATTTTTTTTTTTTTCTTTTTTCAGATAACTATTATTATTATTATTATTCGATTGGAAAATTTATGGCATGATTGATTGATTGATTGATTTTTTTTCTTTGTTTTTTTTTTTCAACGATTGTCATCTAATGATTATTATTATCATTCGAAATTAATTTTTTTTTCCCCCTTTTTCTTGTTTTTTCCTTTTGTCACGTGACGATTGTTTTCCGATTATTTTATGTCTGAAACAAAATGAAAAAAAAAAAAATTATTTATTTATTTTATTATAAATCTCGTCGTTTGTTTTTCTACAAAATAATCAAAAAAAGCTACAATAATAATAATAATAATAATAATAATAATAATAATAATAATAATAATAATAATGATAATAATAATAGAACGTTATTTTTCTATTTAACTAATTAGTGTAAAAGTAAAATCGTGTTTTTTTTTCTTCCAAAATTTTTTTTTGTTTTGTTTTGTTTTTCGATTAAAGGTTTTTTTATTTATTTTAACGTTTTGCTAAAATAAAATTTTGCTCTATTTAATTTTTAGGTTTTCCATAAATCAAAATCACCTGCTTTGAATTATAGCAAAAACAAAACAAAAAAAATTTATGGGTTTTGTTACATAATTTTATATTTTACTGTCGTTTATGTAAGACGAACACACACAAATTTTTTTTTCTTTGTTGCTGTTTTAAAAAGAATCCCTAATATTACGAAAAATATTTTTTTAAGCAGTATTAATAATAATAATAATAATTTATAAAGAAAAAAAATGGCGGACGAAATGATAAAAAAACCCAAAAAAATTGATTGATTGAATAGAAAATAAAATAAAAAATTTTAAATGATTTTAAATCAAAGCTTTAAGATAAACAATAGAGAAAAGAAAATGATGATAATAATAATAATAACTGGAGGGAAAATGATAATGATAATAATAATAGCAGAAGAAAAAAAATATGAATTTTTTTTGTTGGTTGAAACGATCGAAGAGTTGAATTTATTTATGATGATAAATCGTATGAAAATGTGTGCGGGCGTGTGTGTGTGTGCGCGAGACGTTCGGAAAATTTTTAATAACGTTTCCGGTAAAAAAAAAAAAAAAATGGCGGTCAATAAAGGATTTTTTTTTTTTCGAATACCGCGACCTTAAAATAAACTAGAAAAAAAAAATATAAGGAAAAGGTTCAAGAGTTCACAAAATAAGAAAATTATATGAGAAAACTTGTTAAATCTTTTTTTCCTTTCGAAAATAGGTCAAGTATAAATTTATAAACGTTTTAACGTGGAAGCAGACGTTATTCCCCCCCCTCCTCCATATTTTTTTCCCTTTTTTCCTTCTCGTTTCCTTCTTTTCTCCCTCTTTTTCCGCACACATTTCCATTTTTCGTCACACATACTTTTAAAAAAAAAATTTTCTCCTGCCACTTTTTATATTTTTTTTTATTAATAAATTATATTTTATGCAGTAGAAGAAGTTACGTGACGCAATACCGTACTATTTCCAAACCTTGATTTTATTTTTCAAGGTCGATTTTTAAATTTTTACCTTTCGACCTTTTACCTTTTTTATCCCACACTCTTTCCCCCCTCAATACTTCATTCAATAGTAATATTTTCGATAATGCATCATCGCGATCGATACTATTCGATACATTTTCTTATTTTTTTCTTAATTCTTCGTCACTGTCGTCGTTGCTGTCGTCTTCGCTGTCACGTCGTCACGTCACATTAAAATTTTTATAAAACACGCGCGACGGTCAACACCGAAAAAAAAAAACGATTAACTAATTACACTTTTCCTACCGTAAATTAATTTCATTGTTTCAAGTTAGTACGTCACTAATATCGTCACGTCGTCGCGACGCGTCACGACATAGAATAAAAACCTCTTTGATTATTATTATTTTGTCTTCTGCTTTTTTTTGTTTTTCTTTTCGAAGTAAGAAACGCGGTGAATGTGACGTCACGCGAAAATCAACAGTTTTCCTACACGAATAAATTTTTAAAAATAAATTAACGTTATTAGTATCATCATCATCATCATCATCATCATTATTATTAATATTATCATTAATACTATTATCATTATCATTTTCATTATCATTATTATTATTATTATTAATTTACCTTTTAACAAAAGAAAAATTTTGTAAATCGGAAACAAAAAAAAAAAAAGAAAAACACTCGAAAAAAAAATTTTTTTTTTGTTTTGTTTTTTTTTTTTTCGACGAACGCGGAAATCTAGATCGATCGATCGATCGATTACGACTGTGAATCGATTTTTTTTACGTCGAATACCTTAGAAACTAATTTGATGAATTATTATTAAATCAAACATAAATAGATTGATTAAGGTTTTTAAAAAAAAAAAAAAAAAAAAAAAAAAAAAACTTTTAAGGTTATCTTTGTTTGCTATAAAACAATTGTGTTCATATTTACATTTTTTTTTAAAGATTGGTAACAATGTGTAAATGAAATCGACACGAGATGAATTTTTTTTTTTTTTAAATAATAGCAAAAACAAATTTTTTTTCGCACTCGCAAATAAAACGCAAAATGAATTTTAATTTTTTTTTTATTTTTCTACCGGATTTTACGTTCGTTATCATTAAATAATAATAATAATAAGTACGAAAATTATTTTCCAGTTTAATAATTATTTAATTTTTTTTTTTCGCGTGTGTTGGCAATCGTGATGACGAGAAAAGAAAAATAAGAAATTTTTACGGATTCGAATTATATAGTATTGTAAGAAACATTAAAAATGATTAATTGATACTATCGGTAAATAAGGTTATTGACACGACAAAAACGACAGAAAAATAATAAAAAAAAAAAGTCTAAATGCAGGTTAGAAAAACACAAAAAATAAATTTCCGGATAGGGAAAGAGAGAGCGAGAGAGAGAGAGAGAAAGGAAAATTAATCTACGTCACGCAAAATTGATATATATATATATATATATAGAAAAAAATAAAAGGGAAATTTTTTTTTTTCGGGGGGGGAAGGCAGGGAATTCGAAAAGGATGTTCCGGTGGAAAATTTTTTTTTTTTTTTACGTAACAAAAATATTATTATCGATTTAAAAAAAATTTTTCTTTTTACTTTTCGAAATAATAAAAAAAAAAAATCACGTGGAAAACAAAAACGAAGACGAAGGCAAAAAGCCAAAAAAAAAAAAAAAAATGGATGGTTGCAAAAGGATGAGGGGACGTGCGGGAAATCAGGAGAGAAAGGGGAAGGAGAGAGGGGAGGGAGGGAAGAAGGGAAATCTGTAAAAAGAAAATCATTTTCCGGAATCATTTTAAAAACGATGATGGTGTTAATAATAATTTATGAATAATAACGAACAGGTGATAACAAACATTTTTCTCTTCTGCTTTATCGCCTACCGCACTCTCTCTCTCTCCCCTCTCCTCCCCACCCCTCCCCTTCCCCCGACTTCCGCCTCCTCTTTATTTAAAAATATTAATTTATTTATTTATTTTGGCGAGAATCATTAAAATGGAAGAAGCCATTTTTTTTACATTTTTTGCAACCGTAACGTTTCCCACCGAACGCGTCGTTTTTATTATTATTATTATTATTTTTTATAGTTATAGCGGTGACGCTATACTACGTACTATAATACGTGACCATTTTTTTTTTTTTTTTAATAATCTTATAGTTTTCTCTTTTAAAAAAAATCTCATCATGTCATGTTAGGGAAAAAAAATTTTTTTTTCGTAACAAGAAACATTAATTCCATTAATGGCTGCTTATAAGAAAGAGAGAGAGAAAAACGTGATCTAGTAAAAAAAATGTGAGAGAAAGAGAAAAAGAGAGAGAGAGAGAGAAAGCTTTAAATAATCGATTTTTGCGTCACGCTGTTATGCAGACAGTTGTAGACGCCTTTTCGTTCTTTCTTCTTCTTCTTGTTTTTCAAATCATGGAAAATTTTCTCTTTTTTTACCCCCCGCCCCCGCCCCACTCCCCCACCCTGTTCTTTCCTTTTACATTTAGAAAAACTTTTAGGAGAATACGTGTAATTATTATTTTATTAATCGAAATCTAAAATCAGACGTCGGTTTTTAAAAAAAAAAAATTTAATAATTTTTCACCGTGGAAAAACAAAAAAAATGACGGCCATTTTTACATAAAGAAAATCAAAATTATTTTATTTATACGATTGAATTTTTTTTTTTACTATTTCCTGTTCTTCTATTAATAATAATAATAATAAAGTAAATAAATAAATAAATAAAATAATTCCGGATCGAAAACAGACGACGAATCAAATTCGAAATTTATTTTTTCGTTCGTAATTTTTTTTGTTGCTGTTGTTGTTGTTTTTAATGGAAATTTTTAATGAATCGTTTTTGAACTGCCCCCTCCATCCACCCCACCCCACGCACCCCCTCAACCCCTTCTCAAAATGATGTGACGTGGGTGAATTTTCAAATAATGGATCAATACAAAAAAAGGAAAAAACCAAAACAATAACAGAAATTTTTTTTTCGGTAAGAGATTTAACGCGATGAAAATTGATATTAATAATGATAATAATATTGATATTAATAATGATAATAATAATGATAATATTAATGATAATAATAATGATAATAATAATGATAATAATAATTTTTTTTTACTAATTTAAACGAGAATAAGAGATATTAAAACAAAAAACAGAAGAAATATTAAAATCTATTAATAATATTCTACCCTTATCGTATTTATTAAAATTCTTAATTAAATAATAATAATAATAATTTTTCCTTTTGATTTTGTATTTTTTTAGTTTTTTGTTTATCGTTTGCCACGATCAAATTTTTTTTTCTTTTGGTTTTATTTTTTTTAAAATGAAAATTCAAAACGAAAGAAAAAAAAAGTGATAAGAATAATGATAACGGTATTATTTTAACGTCAAAATGTCTTTTTTCGTTACCGTTTTCTCTCTTCTTTTTTTTGTAAGACGATT